TAGAGGGAGCCATCAAATCAGGTTGATTTTCGATGTTTAGGATTTGAACCTCGTCCAATTTGTTCTGCAAACTGCGCACATTAGCGGACAACACACTCAAACCGTCCTTCGACCTTACGCTCCGGGTAGGAAAAGGATGGGTCGCCAGCTAGTTCTCGGAGTTTTCGGAACCACTCAAAAATCCACGCTGTGAAGGTCCGTCTCACCATTTGCCCGGCGGGTTCGAAGTTCATCAACTGCACTATTGACTTTTTCCGGTCCTCCGGGAACAGAGCTCTAAGAACATAAAACGATTCTCCTTTGAGACGTGAACTGCATTGGAGGATGCGGCTGCATTCATCTTCGTTTTGGCAAACGAGCTTGAAAGAGCGAGACTTTGTAAAGTCCTCCTGCTTCCTGTCAACGCGAAAAGCAGAAACAACATTTATCCCTGGTTCGCCCCCGCGAAACCACAGTGAAATCATCCGTTTTAAGGCGCTTCATCATCTAAGATCCTTTTAGCTGGAGTGGCTTTAGGAGGCTCCGGTGCGCTTATCACCATAAGGCAGCGGTCACGAGAGGGAGTTTTTAGATGGCTGCTGCTTAATAGAAATGGACGTGTCTTTAACCAAATTCTCCAACTGTGTAAGTCTATCAAGCAATTATTAAATCCCAACTTGCAAAGCGGGCTTGGCTTTGACACCAGCTTTTGCTTTGGCTTCGCTTCTCGCATATCTGTGTTGCGGCTGCCTGACGGCGCCTCGAGTCTTTGCACCACAGATGCATAGGTCCTGACCGGAGGCTCGGCATGCTGAGCAGCAACACTTACCGAGGGAGACGTGGCACGATCTTGCTTACCAATGGGAGTTACGAATCCAGAACAGATGGAATGAGGACCCGCAGATAAATAGAGTCCGAAGAATCAAGCAACGCAGTGTGAGAAAGAGAGGGACTTGGACTAAGCGCTGGTAAACCGGCACGCAGACGTCTGTCACTGGTTGGTACTATGCAGAACTCACAAAAGAAAGCGAGAGCTTGAGGCGATGTCCGTTGTAGATACCTACATAGGCCCGGACATATACTACAGCAAGCAGCATGAATCCAAGCATCATACAAAGTGCACTGTGGGACTTCGATCGGTGAGTGACAGCCTTACTACAAGAAACACATTTGGAAGCCATTAGGGAAGGATAAGGGACATAAATCGGTGGTAGCGCGAAAAAATACTGGTCAGCCGAGAGCACTGCATTACAGGACGACTTGTAATTCAAGTAAAGATTCGGGCATTAATATGGGTGATGATGTTCCGGTGCTGCCAGAGATTTGAACTAGTTTCTTCAAACCAGATGAAGATAGAAGAGCTAAAGCAAAAGGTTCACTGTATTCCCCCGAACACATTTATGCTCAAACGCAATAGTGCCGATCATAATAGATAAACATCCGATGGGCACACGATGGACGGCAGCCCAAACTGGTGAGGTTGACAGTATGTCCAGAGGACAATGCCGTCAAACAGATGAGGATTCGAAAAATTGGAGAAGTAATCCTCTGGCAAGGTAAAAGGAGAATGACGCCATGGCATGGCAAGTAAGCGGAGTACTTGTTTAGAGGGTCGCCTGTACCCGGAGCCCAGAGAGCAATTCCAGAAGACAGATGGAGTTGCAGGGAAACTTTTATTGGTACAGTAAAAGATTCCCTGTTATCTAGCTATAAAAGAACGACACCGTGGACGCTCTAGCTAGGGGAACGGAGCAAGCACAGCACACAGGGCAATTGCGAGTTGCAACCGAAACGAGCGCCAAGCAAAAATGGCGAAGAGCAAGTAAAGCATTCGAACTCAGCAATCAGTTCAACAAACCACACCGGTTGCCTAGGTGTACAATTAAAGAATTTTAGTTAGAATTTTACACAGGCAAACCGGGGAATCTCCAGACTGCTACATAGCCCTCTCCCAGAAGGGACTGTGTAAGCAGTCCTTCGATCTACGTGAGGACTGTCCGTCGCGGGCCAGCCTTCTGCGAGACCAGGTTGTGAAACCTGATGCAGCTGCTGGGGGAGAACCATGCAATCGGACCCTAGCGGGCTCCCACCCGTGTCCTTCCTACGGTGTCGAAACGGTAAAAAACTGTTTGTGGGGGGACAGTTAGTAAAGTTCACGTATGCGGTTGAGCAGGAAGTTTGTTCCACTTCCAGTTGACGTGCGGGGATCCAGCGAAAAGTGAAACCGAGATGCAACCAACCGGCGGTGTATATGGAAAGCAAAATGAAAAAGCAGCATAAATGCATAGCAATACACAAAAGAGTGTAAAGCGAAAAACGTGCAAAGCTGCTTTTGGGTTTTCAAAAGGTTTTGCTCTTTTTTAGTAATTTCAAAACGTTTTGATCTTTTTTGTGGATTTTCAAAAACGTTTGGTAAGAGCAGAAAATTTCTAAGGCACGTTCTATGTAAAATAGTGAGTGCTAACGAAGTCCGAAAAACGAACTGGAGGCTTGAGTTTCCTACCGCGTCGATCGATAGTAGGGCGAGTAGGAGTGCTGTCGGTTGAGGTTGTCGGTTCTGCTGGAGCGGACTGACTCGTCTGAGGTTGCGGTGCGAGCTGTGATGGCACAGGCTGTGAAGGTGCTTGTTGCACCGAAGAGTCAGACTTGTCGAGGAATGCTGGCTTGAGTCGATCGATGTTGATCGTCTCAGTCTTACCATTGTAGTCAATGGTAAACGTCTTGTCGCTTCTGCGTACGACACGGTACGGACCAGAATAAGGAGGTTGAAGTGGTCGGCGTACGCTGTCAGTGCGAACGAACACGTGCGTGCAAGTAGTTAAGCGTTCGTCCACGTTGGTACGCAAGCTCTGTGCTCTGGGTTGCACAGGCTGAAGCTGTCGCATGTGATGAGATAGGCGAGCTGCGTAGTCGCCATAGTCGAAGGTTGTTGGCGCTTTTGGTGAGACGAGTTCACCAGGTAAGCGTTGTGTGCATCCAAAGACTAGCGACGATGGAGTGGCGTGCAAATCCGCTTTAATCGTGTTTCTTATGCCTAAGAGAACGAGCGGAAGTGCTTCGTGCCAGGATGTGCTAGATTGGGCACAGAGTGATGCTTTGAGTTGCCGGTGGAACCTTTCTACCATCCCATTAGCTGCGGGATGGTATGCGGTGGTTCGGTTATGTTGGCAACCAAGAACGTTGAGCAATTTGCTGAAGGATCCGTCAAAGTGCGATCCTCTGTCAGTGATGACTACGCTTGGGCAACCGAATTGAGCTACCCAGCGTTCTAGGAAAGCTTGCGCAACTGTCTCAGATGAGCAGTTGACTATCGGAATCGCCTCTGGCCAACGGGTGAATCGGTCGACACAAGTGAGTAGGTACACGTAGCCTTTGCATGGAGGCAAAGGTCCGACCAGGTCGACATGGACGTGTGCAAAACGAGAGTCAGGAGCGGGAAAGACGCCAAGTGGGCTTTTGGTGTGTCTGTATACCTTGGCGCGCTGACACTCTAAGCATGCGCGTGCCCAAAGGCGGACATCGCGATTGACGTTGGGCCATACGAAGCGTTCCGTTACGAGCTTCTGCGAAGCACGTATGCCGGGATGAGACAGGTTGTGTAAAGCGTTGAAAACTAGTCGACGCATTGAAGTAGGAACTACGGGTCGGGGAGAAGTTTGTGAGACGTCACAAAGAATGGTCCCCTCAGATGAAGCTAGTGGAACTTCGCGTAGTTTCAACGAGGTGTTGCGTCGTAGCTTGTCTATGTCGGGATCAGCTTGTTGGGCAGCAGCCATAGCGGCTAGGTCAATGTTGGTGCCAGGCGATAAGCTGATCTGCTGAATGCGTGAAAGCGCATCCGCGACGGGATTGAGAGCACCTGAGACATGTCGTACGTCTGTCGTAAACTGAGAAACGTAGTCTAGGTGTCTAGTTTCCCGCGGAGAATACTTGTCCGTTGCGCCATTGATTGCGTAGATCAATGGCTTGTGGTCAGTGAAGACTGTAAAATGTCGACCTTCGAGATAGTGACGGAAATGTCGGATACCTAGGTAGATAGCTAACAGTTCCCTACCGAAGGTGCTGTAACGCGATTCGGCAGGTTGTAAACGTTTCGAGAAGAAACCTAGAGGTATCCATCGATGGTCGATGAGTTGTTGAAGAACTGCACCGACGGCAGTGTCGGATGCGTCAGTTGTCAGGGAGAGTGGTGCAGATGTGTCTGGATGGGCGAGAAGCGCTATGTTGGAGATAGCGTCTTTGAGCTTCTCGAAAGACAATTTAGCGTCGTCTGTAAAATGAAAAGACCGTTGTTTACCGCGGAGCAAGTCAGTCATTGGTTGAACAATGCTCGCGCAGTTAGGAATAAAGCGTCTATAATAGTTGACCAGGCCAAGGAATCGGCGTAACTGTTTGAAGGAACTGGGAGCAGGATAGTCCTTCAGTGCCTGGATTTTGTCTGGCAGAGCTTCGATACCAGAGGCGGATATGCGGTGGCCAAGAAAGTCGATGGAGCTTTGGCCAAGCTCGCATTTATCGGGGTTGACGGTAACCCCATGCTGGGTTAAGCGTTGGAAGAGAGCGTCGAGGTGATGAAGATGTTCTTCATCAGAAGAGCTCGCGATAAGAATGTCATCTAGATAAGGATAAACGCCTTCGAGTCCTCGCGTTACCTCATGAATGAAACGCTGAAAAGTTTGGGCAGCGTTGCTGAGGCCGAAAGGCATTCTGAGGTACTCGAATAGGCCGAATGGCGTGATGACTGCTGTTTTAGCAATGTCGTCTGGCGCCACAGGTATCTGATGGTAGGCGCGAACTAAGTCGACTTTGCTAAAGATAGACTTGCCAGCTAGAGCTGAGGTCAAGTCGTGCATGTGCGGAATGGGTATTTATCCGGGACGGTAACTTTGTTAAGTGCCCTGTAGTCACCACAGGGGCGCCAGTCACCGGATTTCTTCGGCACCATGTGTAATGGTGATGCCCATGGACTTTTGGACGGGCGGATTATTCCCAGTTCGAGCATTTGCTCGAATTCCGCCTTAGCAGCTTTGAGCTTGTCCGGGGCTAGTCGGCGAGGGCGGGCCGAAACAGGTGGGCCCTTAGTGCAAATGTGATGCATGACGTTTGACGTCACAGGAGGCAAGTCGTTCAGGACGCGAACGAGTTTAGGATGCTTGCTGAAAAGTTCTATAAAAGGCTGTGAAGCTTGAGGTAGGACACGAATGGGAGTGATAGCAGCCACGTTGGCGCTAGTCCCGATAACACTGAGCTGTGTCCTAGAGTCGATAAGCTTCTTCCTTTTAGCGTCGACGATGAGGTCGAAGCGTTGAAGAAAGTCTATGCCTATGATGGCGAAAGGCACGGCAGCGATTATGAAAGGCCAGCGAAAGGTTCGCCGGAGGCCTAAATTGAGTGTTAGCAGCTTTTCGCCGAAAGTTGCGATTGGTGTGCCATTGGCGGCACGCAGCTTGGTCGGCGATGGTGAGACGACCTCATCTGAGCTACGGGGTATAACGCTAACTTCGGCACCAGTGTCGACTAGAAACTCGGTGCCGGAAGTTAAATCCCTAACGCGGATGAGGCGACTTTGGTGTGGGCCGATCGCGTCCGTCGCCGTTACGGACCGGCCGAGAAGTTTCCCTGCTTCTCGGCGAAGTTGCAAGGCTTGACACATTTACGAGCTGCGGTACCAAAACGCTGGTGGTACCAACAGCTAGCCTGCCTGTTTCTAGACTTAGAACGTTTGCAGGGCGATTTTGATCGGCTATGACGACGAGGGTTCATAGTAAGCTGTTGCACCTGGCGACTAAGTGTCGCAACTTGTGTTTGGAGGGCTTCTATAGTTGACTGTAAGCCAGTGATAGAAGTGCCCTGGGACGCGACGGCATTGATCTTGCTGGCGTCGGCTTGTGGCTGTGATCGTTCAATAACTCGATCCGCTAAATCTGCTAGTTGAGTGAGCGAAACGGAGCTCACTGTAGCGAGAATCGCTTGCGTGTTTTCCGGTAGCCGTTGTAGCCATAGTTCGCGAAGTAACGTCTCATCCATGGTTGAGGAACCAAGGAGTTGCTGCATCTCTCGTAGCAGGGTTGAGGGCAGTTTGTCGCCCAGCTGCAGATCCCTGAAAAGCTGCTGCAGGCGAACTTTCTCAGAGGGCATAACACGCTTAATCGTGGCCTCCTTGAGAGCCTCATAGCGGTTTTCGGTCTGAGAAATGATGACGTCACGAACCTGCATTGATATCTCCTTGGGGAGATAGGACAGGAGCTTGCAATACTTCGCGTAGTCGGAAGTGATTCTGTGGTTGTAAAACTCAGCCTCAAGATGAGCGAACCACAAAAGAGGATCCATGTCCCAAAAAGGTGGTACAGAGAGAGATACAACGCTAAGCAGAGACTCTACCTTAGGATCTACAGAATCCATGGCTTAAAAATGACGCAAAAGTAGGCTACCGTATGCAAAAATAAACCGGAAAATATGAAAAATAAATGGAACGAGCTCACCAGAGAAAAGTTCCAAATATCCGGCGCTGGAGTTGTTCCGGATTCGGGGTCACCAATTTAGAGGGTCGTCTGTACCGGGAGCCAAGAGAGCGATTCGAGAAGACCGATGGAGTTGCAGGGAAACTTTTATTGGTACAGTAAAAGATTCCCTGTTATCTAGCTATAAAAGAACGACACCGTGGACGCTCTAGCTAGGGGAACGGAGCAAGCACAGCACACAGGGCAATTGCGAGTTGCAACCGGAACGAGCGCCAAGCAAAAATGGCGAAGAGCAAGTAAAGCATTCGAACTCAGCAATCAGTTCAACCAACCACACCGGTTGCCTAGGTGTACAATTAAGGAAGTTTAGTTAGAATTTCACACAGGCACACCAGGGAATCTCCAGACGGCTACACTTGCAGGATGATGAAGCTTTATAAACAAATACGCAAATACATTTATGTTCACGGTGTCGCAGGAGGCATGCCAACAAGGTATGCTCAGCATTTGTACAAGAGAACCTGCGACAACCAACTTGCGAAGGAATTTGGTTTTGACATTGGAGGCGAGCAGCTGGGTGAGTTCCAAGAAACGATATAAGCTTGTGATAACCCTACTACCTCACAATTACTACTGTGTTAAAACCGTTTGACTATACAATTCCAAAAATCGTAATAATCACGTAACCTGATACAGGAATTTGTTGCAAGTAAATGTTGTTCTGTCCTGAAGCTTACCTAGTGGCGTTATATTCAGTCCCATTACTGCATCTGCGGCTGATCTCCCAAGGGAAGGCATCTTGGATGACATCAAGTGGCTGAAACTGTGTGTCAGCAAACTGCTTCCACCTGGCTTCCCTGTGGCCCGCAAGAAAGCTAACCAAGTTGGGGAACGTCCCTATCGCGACGCCAAATCCACCACGCCGACTACTTGGCTTGATCCTTTTACCCCGGAGGAACGGAAATCATTACTTCAGGTTGCATTCAAACGTAAGCTTAGTGGTGTTAGCTTTCGGCCGGACCTAACATTGGCAGATAGCTTGAAGTTAAAGGAGGCTATCAAAGGCCTCAAAACTAGACTAGCGGTTGGTGAGCAAGGCCCTCTTCTGGTGAGTTTTCAGGTGGTCAGCTGGAAGTTACTTTCCGCCCTCCCACAATTCGTCCTCATGGCGCGCTACCCAGGGACTGTCGTGCCGACTTCTTTGAAGTATTACGTAGCAACGTGCGTAGCCTAAGGAATAAGGTGCACGATTTGGGTCCACTTGTAGAGAAACCTCGTCCCGACATAATTGCTTTCACTGAAACCTGGTTGTCTCCGGACATCACGGACGATGAGATATGTTTATCTGTCTACAGGCTGCTTAGAACTGACCGCTCCTTTGGTCGTCAAGACGAAGGTGTTGTACTGTATTTGAGCTTTGAATTACATGTGTTGAAGACCTGCACATTCCAGTCGTCAGATCAGACTGTTGAAACCCTATCGGCTGCTTTGTGCACTTTCTCTACCCAGTTTAGAGTTATAGTGGTACACAGAAGTCCTGGAAGTTCTTCCAGGGAGATACTTGACTTTATTCGCACTCAGTCTGCGGATATGATTTTAATTCTAGAGGATTTCAACCACAAGTCTGTTGGGATGATAATCTTTTGTAATTCGGTATCTGGAACATTCAATGCAGACTTTCTTGAGCTGACTCTCCAAGTGCCTTTGCATCAGTTCGTGGACCTTCCCACTAGATATATGGACAACAAAATGCCATCTACTTTAGATCCGGTTTTCGCAAAGTCCCTCGACTTCGTGACAGACGTTACATACGGTGCACCTCAAGGGTCCAGCGATCACGTATGCATATCCTTTCGTTGTGTTTTTCAAGACACCAACCGACTGCTGTTTTATTACTTCCGAATATTTGGTGGGCGGACTTTAGTGCAATACGATCCCAGGTTTCAGTTGTGAACCGTGCGAGCTCGACGGCTGACTCTGTCCAGTTAGCCTGGGATAAATTTAAGACATACCTTACGGAGGTTTCCACGCCCTATATTGCACTCATGAGGAAAAGAGGGTTAAGCGCATAGCTACCTTGGATAGATATTATAGGCAAGTACCTACTCAAGGAACTGTATAGATGCTGGCGAACCTAACAAGCAGGTCCATCAGCCAGTACCTATGATAGTTATCGAGAGATTAGAAATAATTGTAATCAACATCTCAGAAACGTTCGTCTCTGGTACGAGCAGGGTTTAGCGGACTCGACCGCAGCTAGTCCCAAGAAGCTTTTGTTTACGTTAAAAGGCGCAGCGGAGCAAAACAGTCTGTACCAACGTTATTTCGAGCAGACGGGACCCGTGCGCAAACTGACTATGACAAGGCTTGTATACTTAGTGATCAGTATACTGGAGTCTTTGCTCGGGAGAACTATTTACCACAGGTTAAATTGGTTTCAAGAATTCCAGAGGATACTTGCTTAGTTGATTTTACTATAACAGAGACTCAGGTCTTTGATCTACTGCAAGGCATTAATTACTCTAAAGCTTCCGGTCCTGCTTCAATTCATCCAAAGCTGTTGCAGCAATTGACCACGGAGCTGATTGATCCTCTTACTTGTGTTTTCAATATCGAAGGACAGCTGCATCATGCCTTCGGAATGGAAGGAGGCAATCATTGTCCAATTTTTAAGGGTGGTGACAGCGCTCTATGCGCAAACTACCGGTCTATCAGTTTGAAAAGCATAGTGGTCAAGTTGTTTGAAAAGCTGACAAGGGATTCAGTGGGGAATCACATGATCAAGTTTAACCTTCTCAATGTTGCACGACGTGGATTTCGCAAGGGATTTTCATGTCAGCCTAATCTACTTGTAACTCGTGAAAGCTGGGCCGAAGCGGTAGACAGTGACCAGGCTGTAGACGTACTATTCGTGGACATTTCGAAAGCATTTAACACTCTTCCACATCTCTGGCTCTCACTAAAGTTGAGATCTTACGAGATATCTGGTCGCGTTCTTCAATGTGTCTGCCTTCCTTGAGGGGAGGGAACAGTGCTTACTGGTGGGGCGTAGCCTTTTGCTTAGGCAAACTGTCCTTAATGGCGTCTCGCCTGGCTCGGTACTGGAGCCATGGTTGTTCGCGACCTATGCAAATGACTTTCCAGGAGAGCTAGGGGTGTCATCACTAATGTTTTGTTGATGACTTTAACCCGGGGTATATTGTGGATACCCTGGGGTTCTGGGGTAATTCAGCGTGCCTTATCCAGGCTATGGGAATTGTCTAACTTATGGTTGATGCCCCTAAATAAAGTCACGTGCTCTGTTCTTCGAATCGGAGCTGCTAATCCTCCCACCCGATATGTTGTCGGTGGTGGTGAACTACCTGTTGTCACGCAGTTGGTTGATTTAGGGGGTCGTACCAGCACCAGCACGTCATTTTGGCGACTATTGGAAGGAGACTGCTTGTCGAGGGTTTCGTATGCTGTGGTTTATCTGCCGCTCTTTCGGAATCCTAACGGCCAATTTCTTTATGAAGCTATTCTCGGCATTCGTCGGACCCCCTGGAATATTGTATCCAGGCTCGTCCACCCTGTCTTAACTTAGACAACATTTACTTGGACAGAATGTTACGAACGGGCACTCGGTTAGTGCAAAGTCTAAGGGGACAGACGTAGCCTGAACGTTTTTTTCAATTTGTGGCTATACTCAAAGCACTACCGAAGGATAAGAGGGGACCTGATTCTCACTTATCGTATTTTGACGGGTAAGGTTGGCCCGGGCTTGTCAGCACTATGTAGTCCCACTACGTTACCTAATCCCTGTGGTCACCCACTGAAACTGCATAAACTACCGTCTGATGGGATTAGGACGGAAATTCGTCTGTCGCGCCAAATTATGGATCGCTGGAAGTCGCTTCCAAATCACGTGGTTAGGGATCTTACGGTTAAGGGTTTTGCGCGCCAGTTCGATGCTCTTGGGTGGCAACAACAATCCTTTTTACTAGCTGACTCACCTTCACTTTTCAGTTCATTTTTTAATGACTCAAATATCTTAGTATTCCACTTGCTTAGCCCTTTTCCATTTCTCTTTTGCCTTCTGTGTTTACTTTTTTCTCTTGCTTAATTCACATAACCGGCCCAGCAGGTGCTGCTAGAGCAGGGTACTTGGGCATTAATTGGTTGGACTGGGTGTGATGCTGTCTTGTTTTAGGTCCATCAGTATTTCAAAGTCCGCCAACTTCTGGTTCAACGACCCCCTGAAGAAAGAATACTCGCGGGATAATCTTGTCATTTCAGTTCCGCTTAAATTTGAACTTAATCGCAGTCGCATGCAATCCTTTTTCCATCCTCTGGCATATGATTCGTTCTCATATGGTTGCGGTGAGTTTTCATCCTTCCCAGTTGAGCGATGTGTTCAGTGGGATGGTAAGGACCCTAGTCGCTAAACTTGGGTCCATCCATTTGTC